CCAGACACTTTACCAGCAAAACCTGACCATGGTGTATATGGAACCTTCCCAGACACTTTACCAGCAAAACCTGACCATGGTGTATATGGAACCTTCCCAGACACTTTACCAGCAAAACCTGACCATGGTGTATATGGAACCTTCCCAGACACTTTACCAGCAAAACCTGACCATGGTGTATATGGAACCTTCCCAGATACTTTACCAGCAAAACCCGACCATGGTGTATATGGAACATTCCCAAACATTTTACCAGCAAAACCACGGCAGCCTCTCTTGCCATCTTGGCCAGCAGAAGTTTTCCTTGTTCCACAGCCGCCAAACCCCGTTGTATAATATTTTACAGCATATTCTCCTTTTCCACACGACACTGACTTGCCCAAACTTTCCACTTTTCTACACACTTATTAAATCAGAAAAAATTTATTGAAGAAAATAAACACATTATACCTCTCCTTATGGAAACCTCTCGAATATGGAAACCTCAGCTCTCGAATAGGGACACCTCTTTAAACGGACATGCACTTCCCTAATACAAACGCCTCTCTAATGCGAATACCTCTCTAATACAGAGAACAATTCATTGATTTTGGCAGTCACTATGAGCATAGGAACAACAAATGACTGGGATATTATCTCTATAGTAATACTATCAGTAGAAGTATTCAATAATATTTTCATTAAAACTGATATATCGTAACTCGTATAAGCTTATATAAAATGAATCCTCCAAAATTTGTTGCTTCTACGATCGAGGGGGCGGGGGTATAAATGACAATTACGTGATAAATATAGGACCTTAGGCAGCCTAAGTGAACCTGAACAAAGAATATAGCTTTACCGTTGTTGAAAGGCATCTCCAATGGCACTGACGCTACAAAAAACACAAGAAAACGGGATATATTGTAATAATCAAAATTTTGTTTGCATCCCAAATGATTTACTAATGGTTGAAGGTGATCCCAAATGATTTAATAATGGTTGAAGGTGATCCCAAATGATTTAATAATGGTTGAAGGTGATCCCAAATGATTTAATAATGGTTGAAGGTGATCCCAAATGATTTAATAATGGTTAAAGGTGATCCCAAATGATTTAATAATGGTTGAAGGTGATCCCAAATGATTTAATAATGTTGAAGGATCTTGTAGATGGAAATCATCGACTGGAATCAAAGGCCCTGGGGACGAGGTTGCGACTGGAATGTAAGTCATAGATTTGCGTCCACCGCCCGCATGTCTCAAAAGCTACCGCCTAAAATTTTCATTGTTTACAAAAAAATTCATTATTTTCACAAATAAAGCAAAACTCAATAAAATTAGCAAAAAAATTGTGTATTGATTACAATGAAATGAACATATTACAGTATGTTTGTCCTCAGTATCCACATTCATGTGAGAGTTCCAAATTATGTTCACCGAAATGGCGAAATTGGCACAGATCTTCGGTGCTGCAACCGCGTGAGCTCGTGATATATGTAATTCCACGGCGTGAATGGTAATTCGTGTTTTGATCTCTGTATTTACCACCCAAAAGAATGGTCAAAAAAATAATGAATAATGAATAATGAATAAAAAGCCGCATGCTCTTTCAAAATTACCCGGACGCAAATCTATGACTTTCATTCACATGGCCTCATCGAGTGGAATGTAAATTTCCACTCGATAAATTACATCTACAAAACCCTTCAACTTTTCAGTGCAATAGATTAAGATGCCAACAAAATCTTGATATTTACACATAACCTAACATGGCAGTACCCCAGTATATATACATGCATGAATTTGTGGTTAGAGCTCGACAACTGGCCTCTGTAAGCTCAGTTGGTTAGAGCACTGCACCGGAATCACAGGACCGCAGGTTCGATAACAACTCGATAATTTCCCTTCAACTATATTGTACTAGCCTGTTTTGACGACCATATTTCTTTAGAGCCTTATTTGTGTTTTATAATTATATTCTTTCATAAAATCCCATCCCTGATGTGAGATCCTTTCCATTCTCACTCAATTTGAAAGTAATGCAACTGCAGACTAGTCCCTAGTCCTCTGTGCACGCTTTTGATTTCCGTGACGTCGCCGAGCGAAACGCGCCGTCACCTCATTAATATGCAGAAACGCAAAATAGGCGAACTAAGAGGTCTAGGGACTAGGCTGATGCAACTGGAGGCTGTTGTGTATGATGCATAAATTATACAATGGCAAATTACGCATTCAATTTTCATCCCAATTTATCCAATTTGTCTTTGGGCAACGTCCATTAGTCCTACAAATTTCTTGAGTATTTTCCAGAGTAAAAATTTTTTCCGTACGAGTACGTTGCAATTGCTTTCCAGGGACTTTATCTCATTTTTTTATGCCAAATTTCGGTACTTACCCCAAGAAAACAGATATCTTGTCCTTTGCGCGGAAATATTTAACACACAAAAAAGACTGGGGCCCAACAAAAATTTTTCAGGGACCCCCAGCACCTCGGGGCCCGGGGCAATTTGCCCCTCTGCCCCCCCCCCCCTCTCTGCGGCCCTGTACGTAAGTAAGCATTGCTACACACGATTAGGCTAACGATCAAAATAATTCATATAACAATAATAATGCAAAGCAAGTGATTTTAAGTTTGGGAATATTTGCCACAAAAAATAAGCAACTTAAAAGATCAGATGTTTATACTTACAGCACATGGCGACCATAGCAGTCAAACCAAGATGACACAGAATAGCTTGATTCATCATTGCAAAGTCGGTTCACAAGTTGCAGTTTAGAATCTGTCCCTGCGGCTTTCCTTGAAGTTCTTGCATCCTTTTATAGCAAGAAGGCCAAACCGTTGCCAATTTTTTTTTCTTTGACAGTTGTTCACGTTGCTTGGTGAAATATCGCAAAGACAGTTCGTAAAAGATTACCTGAATGTTATCGAGTTACATTGCATATTGGTCAAATGTTGAGCTGCATGTTGTTGTGCTATAATTATTACGCAATTTTTCAAACGACGGTATAGCAAACCTTACGTAACCGTATACATGCATGCAAAGTGACGTGTTGTTTGTCTATAATAAAGAAATTTACACAAGTAACTCGTAAAAAAACGCACTCTGCTAACAAAGGAAATGGGGACAATCTTCCCAAACAATTTAAAGAACCTAGGTGTTATGGTTATTTCAAACCGAGACTAAAAAGGTACTTCCTGCAATTGGATTAAATATAAACGAAACACTCTTCCGACTAAAAATGATAAGTGACTATAAACTAGTCCAATTTATAATAAAGTCTTCTTCACTATCTCACTATATTTCCCTAATTTTGTAATTATGTATATCTTCTATTGTATCATTCATTATCGCAATTCTACCTTTCTTTGAAAAACACTTGAACTGGCCACATATATTTAGGCTAGTTAATTAATTTATAATCTAGGGCCTGAAATAAAAGCCATATGGTTTATAGTAGGTCTCTAGTCCACTTTTTGTAAATATATTATTTTCTGATTTGTTAATATAATTATTTTTGGGCGAATTATTTCATTAATATAGCTAAAACAATAATTTTTTTTTAAAAAATGCTATCTAACTATCTTAATTGATTTTTTTTAACAAACATAGCAACAAAAAACTATTCCTCATTCCTGTAGTGTATTTCAAGCCAGTATATAGAGTATATAGGGTATTTTTAAAAACAAACCAGGAATAGTGAACATGGGCGTACCGGAAGGAAAAAATTAGGGGGGCGGCAAGAAAATTGCCCGACTTTTCGAGATTCTGCCCGACTTTTCGGGATTCTGCCCGACTAGGACCAAAAAAATTTTTCCGGAAAAATTATTTTGGCGACCTCCCCCCCC